CTGCCCTTTAGGCAGCTTTTAAAGATGAATTAAACAGGATTCCTGTGGTACCTTAAAGAGTTATGTTTTTATTTTAGCACACGCTTGTATAAGCTACATCCCATTTCACTGATGCATGTACTGAGCCTTCACTAAGCAAGCAAGATAGACTGGAAGCAAAAATGCAAATGGAACAGTCAAATGGCCATAAAATGCAAGAAGTACAGGGTGAACTATAATTATGCAACATTCAAATGTTAAGTAGAGACTCTTCACAGGAACTTAGCTTCCAAACTCTGACAAGCCCAGGCTAGCCTGGGGTATTTAGGATGCCCCACAAAACATACAACAGAGTATAATTATGCAAAATTCAAGTTTTAAGTACAGCCTGCATAGGAATTCTAGTCTTCTTTGGTGGCCTCCCATCCGCATACCAACTATGGCTTACTCTCCTTAACTCCCAACCTCTGACATGCTGCCGCGTTTTGTTGAGCTACTTAGCACCTCCCATGTCTGAACAGTTGCAAAGGGCACACAAAAGCTTATACTAGGTATAAAACTCTGTTGGTCTTAACGATGCCACTGAACTCAAACTTTGTTCTGCTGCTTCAGACCAAACAACTAAGTCACAGGCTTAGGTTAGAACAAAGTCTGAGTCCAGTAAAAAAGGTAAAGGTTCCCTTGCTCAAAAGCCAGTCGAGTCCGACTCTAGGGTTGCGGTGCTCATCTCCATTTCAAAGCCGAAGAGCCAGCGCTGTCCGAAGACGTTTCCGTGGTCATGTGGCCGGCATGACTAAACACCAAGGCGCACGGAACGCTGTTACCTTCCCACCGAGGTGGTACCTATTTATCTACTTGCAATTTCTTGCTTTCGAACTGCTAGGTTGTCAGGAGCTGGAACTAGAGACGGGAGCTCACTCCGTCATGTGGTAACTCAGGTCTTGGACTGCTGAACTACTGACCTTCCACAGCCTGCAGTTCAGCGTCTTAACCACTTGAGCCACCGCAGCTCCTTCTGAGTCCAGTAGGTATAAGCTTTCATGTACATGCATGTATCTGAAGAAGACTGCACACACACCAAAGCTTATACCTCGAATAAAACTTTGTTGGTC